AAAAGCCTTGGGAAGCCCATTCCCAGCTCCTGGAGCAGGACTGGACCCGCTTCCAAGGCCACGCAAAGGGATGGCGGCGAGATGAAGCGGATCCATCCCATAATGCCGGCTCGGGATGGGGCTGATTCCAAAGGGATGCTCCCAAAATCCCATCCATCGCTTCCCAAAATCCCACTGAATCATTCCCAAAATCCCATACATCACTTCCCAAAATCCCACTGAATGATTCCCAAAATCCCATCCATCGCTTCCCAAAACCCCACCGATCTCTTCCCAAAACCCCACTGATCTCTTCCCAAAACCCCACCGATCTCTTCCCAAAACCCCATCCATCTCTTCCCAAAACCCCATCCATCTCTTCCCAAAACCCCACCGATCTCTTCCCAAAACCCCATCCATCTCTTCCCAAAACCCCACCGATCTCTTCCCAAAACCCCACCGATCTCTTCCCAAAACCCCATCCATCTCTTCCCAAAACCCCATCCATCTCTTCCCAAAACCCCACCGATCTCTTCCCAAAACCCCATCCATCTCTTCCCAAAACCCCATCCATCTCTTCCCAAAACCCCATCCATCTCTTCCCAAAACCCCATCCATCTCTTCCCAAAACCCCATCCATCTCTTCCCAAAACCCCATCCATCTCTTCCCAAAACCCCATCCATCTCTTCCCAAAACCCCATCCATCTCTTCCCAAAACCCCACCGATCTCTTCCCAAAACCCCATCCATCTCTTCCCAAAACCCCACCGATCTCTTCCCAAAACCCCACTGATCTCTTCCCAAAACCCCACCGATCTCTTCCCAAAACCCCATCCATCTCTTCCCAAAACCCCATCCATCTCTTCCCAAAACCCCACCGATCTCTTCCCAAAACCCCATCCATCTCTTCCCAAAACCCCACCGATCTCTTCCCAAAACCCCACCGATCTCTTCCCAAAACCCCATCCATCTCTTCCCAAAACCCCATCCATCTCTTCCCAAAACCCCACCGATCTCTTCCCAAAACCCCATCCATCTCTTCCCAAAACCCCACCGATCTCTTCCCAAAACCCCACCGATCTCTTCCCAAAACCCCACCGATCTCTTCCCAAAACCCCACCGATCTCTTCCCAAAACCCCACCGATCTCTTCCCAAAACCCCACCGATCTCTTCCCAAATCCCCATCCATCTCTTCCCAAAACCCCATCCATCTCTTCCCAAAACCCCATCCATCTCTTCCCAAAACCCCATCCATCTCTTCCCAAAACCCCACCGATCTCTTCCCAAAACCCCACCGATCTCTTCCCAAAACCCCATCCATCTCTTCCCAAAACCCCATCCATCTCTTCCCAAAACCCCACCGATCTCTTCCCAAAACCCCATCCATCTCTTCCCAAAACCCCATCCATCTCTTTCCAAAACCCCACCGATCTCTTCCCAAAACCCCACCGATCTCTTCCCAAAACCCCATCCATCTCTTCCCAAAACCCCATCCATCTCTTCCCAAAACCCCATTGATCTCTTCCCAAAACCCCACCGATCTCTTCCCAAAACCCCATCCATCTCTTCCCAAAACCCCACCGATCTCTTCCCAAAACCCCATCCATCTCTTCCCAAAACCCCATCCATCTCTTCCCAAAACCCCACCGATCTCTTCCCAAAACCCCATCCATCTCTTCCCAAAACCCCACCGATCTCTTCCCAAATCCCCATCGATCTCTTCCCAAAACCCCATCCATCTCTTCCCCAAACCCCATCCATCTCTTCCCAAAACCCCATCCATCTCTTCCCAAAACCCCATCCATCGCATCCCAAAACCCCACCGATCTCTTCCCAAAACCCCATCCATCTCTTCCCAAAACCCCATCCATCTCTTCCCAAAACCCCACCGATCTCTTCCCAAAACCCCATCCATCTCTTCCCAAAACCCCATCGATCTCTTCCCAAAACCCCATCCATCTCTTCCCAAAACCCCACCGATCTCTTCCCAAAACCCCACCGATCTCTTCCCAAAACCCCACCGATCTCTTCCCAAAACCCCATCCATCTCTTCCCAAAACCCCACCGATCTCTTCCCAAAACCCCATCCATCTCTTCCCAAAACCCCATCCATCTCTTCCCAAAACCCCATCCATCTCTTCCCAAAACCCCATCCATCTCTTCCCAAAACCCCATCCATCTCTTCCCAAAACCCCACCGATCTCTTCCCAAAACCCCATCCATCTCTTCCCAAAACCCCATCCATCTCTTCCCAAAACCCCATCCATCTCTTCCCAAAACCCCACCGATCTCTTCCCAAAACCCCACCGATCTCTTCCCAAAACCCCATCCATCTCTTCCCAAAACCCCACCGATCTCTTCCCAAAACCCCACCGATCTCTTCCCAAAACCCCATCCATCTCTTCCCAAAACCCCATCCATCTCTTCCCAAAACCCCATCCATCTCTTCCCAAAACCCCATCCATCTCTTCCCAAAACCCCATCCATCTCTTCCCAAAACCCCATCCATCTCTTCCCAAAACCCCACCGATCTCTTCCCAAAACCCCATCCATCTCTTCCCAAAACCCCATCCATCTCTTCCCAAAACCCCACCGATCTCTTCCCAAAACCCCATCCATCTCTTCCCAAAACCCCATCCATCTCTTCCCAAAACCCCATCCATCTCTTCCCAAAACCCCACCGATCTCTTCCCAAAACCCCATCCATCTCTTCCCAAAACCCCATCCATCTCTTCCCAAAACCCCATCCATCTCTTCCCAAAACCCCACCGATCTCTTCCCAAAACCCCATCCATCTCTTCCCAAAACCCCATCCATCTCTTCCCAAAACCCCATCCATCTCTTCCCAAAACCCCATCCATCTCTTCCCAAAACCCCATCCATCTCTTCCCAAATCCCCACCGATCTCTTCCCAAAACCCCATCCATCTCTTCCCAAATCCCCACCGATCTCTTCCCGCTTCCATGCCCTTCGCCTCCCGGCCGTCCGGCGCGGAACCCGGGCGCCTCCGAGCGTTCCCGAGGTTGGGAAAAGCCGGGAATGGGATCGGGATCGGGGACTCACGCGCTTGAAGTCGTTCATGTTGGTGGCCTGCACGGGGGTGCCGATGAAGGTGAAGTAGGTGACGCGCGTCGTGGCCTCGGCGCCGTGGTTGGACTGCACAAAGAGCTGTGGGGACGGGGCGGGGGGGAAGAGAAGAGAGGGATCAGCGTTCCGGAGGGAAGGAATGACGGAGGAGAGCGGCATTCCAGGTTTATGGAATCATGGAAGAGCATTCCAGGTTTATGGAATCATGGATGAGATCAGCGTTCCGCGTTGAAGGGATCACGGAAGAGAGCGGCATTCCAGGTTTATGGAATCCTGGGATAGCATTCCAGGTTTATGGAATCCTGGGATAGCATTCCAGGTTTATGGAATCCTGGGATAACATTCCAGGTTTATGGAATCATGGAAGAGAGCAGCATTCCAGGTTCATGGAATCCTGGGATAGCATTCCATGTCTATGGAATCATGGAAGAGAACGGCATTCCAGGTTTATGGAATCCTGGGATAGCATTCCAGGTTTATGGAACCCAGGGATAGCATTCCAGGTTTATGGAATCATGGAAGAGAGCGGCATTCCAGGTTTATGGAATCCTGGGATAGCATTCCAGGTTTATGGAATCCTGGGATAGCATTCCAGGTTTATGGAATCATATAAGACATCAGCATTCCGGGGGGAAGGAATGACTGAAGAGAGCGGCATTCCAGGTTTATGGAATCCAGGGATAGCATTCCAGGTTTATGGAATCATGGAAGAGAGCAGCATTCCAGGTTCATGGAATCATGGGATAGCATTCCATGTTTATGGAATCATGGAAGAGAGCGACATTCCAGGTTTATGGAATCCTGGGATAGCATTCCAGGTTTATGGAATCATGGAAGAGAACGGCATTCCAGGTTTATGGAATCATGGGATAGCATTCCATGTTTAAGGAATGACAAAATAGATCAGCATTCCATGTTTAAGGAATCATGGAAGAGAGCGGCATTCCGTATTTATGGAATCATGGGATAGCATTCCATGTTAAAGGAATGACAGATCAGCATTCCATGTTTAAGGAATCATGGAAGAGAGCGGCATTCCATATTTATGGAATCATGGGATAGCATTCCATATTTAGGGAATCATGGAATAGATCAGCATTCCATGTTTAAGGAATGACAGAAGAAATCAACATTCCATAGTTATGGAATTATAGGATAGCATTCCATGTTTAAGGAATGACAGAATAGATCAGCATTCCACATTTAAGGGATCATGGGATAGCATTCCATGTTTAAACACTCATGGAATAGATCAGCATTCCATATTAATGGAATCATGGGATAGCATTCCCTGTTTAAACACTCAGGGAATAGATCAGCATTCCATATTGAAAGGATCATGGGATAGCATTCCATGTTTAAGGAAGGACAAAATAGATCAGCATTCCATGTTTATGGAATCATGGGACAACATTCCGCATTTAAGGAATCATGGAAGAGATGAGCATTCCATATTTATGGAATCATGGGATAGCATTCCATGTTTAAGGAATGACGGAACAGCTCAGCATTCCATGTTTATGGAATCATGGGATAGCATTCCACGTTTAAAGAATCACGCAATTGATCAGCATTCCGCATGGAAGAAATCATGGAACAGCTCAGCATTCCATATTTAAGGAATCACAGGACAACATTCCACATTTAAGGAACGCCAGAACACCTCAGCATTCCATGTTTCTGGAATCTCGGGACAGCATTCCACATTTAAGGAACGCCGGAACAGCTCAGCATTCCATGTTTCTGGAATCATGGGACAACATTCCACATTTAAGGAACGCCGGAACACCTCAGCATTCCATGTTTCTGGAATCCCGGGACAACATTCCACATTTAAGGAACGCCGGAACAGCTCAGCATTCCATGTTTCTGGAATCCCGGGATAACATTCCACATTTAAGGAACGCCGGAACACCTCAGCATTCCATGTTTCTGGAATCCCGGGACAACATTCCACATTTAAGGAATGACGGTATAGATCAGCATTCCATGTTTATGGAATCATGGGACAGCATTCCACGTTTAAGGAATGACGGTATAGATCAGCATTCCATGTTTATGGAATCATGGGACAGCACTCCGCATTTAAGGAATCATGGAAGAGATGAGCATTCCATATTTAAGGAATCATGGGATAGCATTCCACGCTTAAGGAATGATGGAACAGCTCAGCATTCCATGTTTCTGGAATCATGGGACAGCATTCCATGTTTAAAGAACGCCGGAACACCTCAGCATTCCATGTTTCTGGAACCCCGGGACAACATTCCACATTTAAGGAATGACGGTATAGATCAGCATTCCATGTTTATGGAATCATGGGACAGCATTCCACGTTTAAGGAATGACGGTATAGATCAGCATTCCATGTTTATGGAATCATGGGACAGCATTCCATGTTTAAAGAATGACGGAACAGCTCAGCATTCCATGTTTCTGGAATCACGGGACAACATTCCACATTTAAGGCACGCCGGAACACGCAGACGGCGGCGGCATTCCCGAAGCCGGGAATGCCGGGGGGGGGGGATGCACTCACGGTGACGCTGTTGACGTTCTGGAACTTGACGTAGCGCAGCGGGATGCTCCCGGCCTCGCGGATGTCCTCGGGGCTCAGCTCCAGCGCCTGCGTGGGCTCGCTCCGCTCCGCTTCCGCAAAGTCCATGGAGCGCGGGAGGTTGATGAAGAGCTTCACGCATTTGGGGCCTTGGCCTGCGAGGGGATGGGAACGGAGCCGTGATCCCAAGGGAATGACCCCAAACCCCAACCAAACCCCAAGCTCCAACCCCTAACCCTAACCCAAAACCATAACCATAACCCATAACCCTAACCCATAACCATAACCCATAACCCTAACCCATAACCATAACCCCTAACCCTAACCCATAACCATAACCCCTAACCCTAACCCATAACCATAACCCATAACCCTAACCATAACCCTAACCCATAACCATAACCCCTAACCCTAACCCATAACCCTAACCCATAACCCTAACCCATAACCATAACCCTAACCCATAACCCTAACCCATAACCCTAACCCATAACCCTAACCCATAACCCTAACCCATAACCCTAACCCATAACCCTAACCCATAACCATAACCCATAACCATAACCCATGAACCCAACCCAAACCTTAACCCAACCGCTAAGCCCTAACCCCAACCCTACCACCTAACCGTAACCCATAACCCCAACCCTAACCCATAACCATAACCCATAACCATAACCCCTAACCCTAACCCATAACCCTAACCCATAACCCTAACCCCTAACCCTAACCCATAACCCTAACCCATAACCCTAACCCATAACCATAACCCCTAACCCTAACCCCTAACCATAACCCATAACCATAACCCATAACCATAACCCATAACCATAACCCATGAACCCAACCCAAACCTTAACCCAACCGCTAAGCCCTAACCCCAACCCTACCATCTAACCTTAACCCATAACCCCAACCCCAACCCCAAACCCTAACGCGAACCCCAACCCTAACACCTAACCTTAACCCATAACACCAACACTAACCCCAACCCTAACCCAAACCCCAAACCCTAACGCGAACCCCAACCCTACCACCTAACCTTAACCCATAACCCCAACCCTAACCCCAACCCCAAACCCTAACACGAACCCCAAGCCTAACAGCTAAACCCTAACCCCAAAATTAACCCCTAACCCTAAACTCTAACCCCTACCCCTAATCCCTAACACCCAACTCCTAACCCCTAACCCCAACCCTAACCCCAAACCATAATCCCTAACCCTAACACCTAACCATAAACCATAACTGTAACCCAGAACACTACCCCCTAACCCCTAAAACCTACCCCTAACCCCAAACTCTAACCCTAACCCCTAACCACAACCCCAACCCTAACCCCGAACCCTACCACCTAACCTTAACCCATAACCCCAACCCCAATCCCTAACCCGAACCCCAAACCTAACACCTAAACCCTAACCAATAACCCCAAAATTGACCCCTAACCCCTAGCCCTAACCCCTAAGCCTCAACCCTAACCCCAACCCTAAGCCATAAACCCTAACCCTAGCCTTAATCCCTAAACCCAAACACTAAAACCTACCCTAAACCCTAACCCTAACCTAAACAAGAACCCTAACCTTAACCCGCAACCCTACACCCTAACACCAACCCCTAACCCTAACCCACACCCTAACCCCCAATCCGTAACCCTAACCCCAACCCTAAACCCACAACCCCAACCCCTAACCCTAACCCAAGCTGAAACCCCTTACCCTAACACCTCACTTTAACCCATAACCCCAACCCTAACCAAACCCCCAAAACCCAAACCCACCCCTAAAGCCCTAACCCCCACCCTAACCACACACCCTAACCAAACCCCTAACCCCAACCCCTAACCCCAACCCTAACCCCAACCCCTAACCCCAACCCCAACCACAACCCCTAACCCTAACCCCAACCCCAACCCCAACCCCAACCCCTAACCCCAACCCTAACCCCAACCCCTAACCCTAACCCTAACCCCAACCCCTAACCCCAACCCTAACCCCAACCCCAACCCTAACCCCGACCCCAACCCTAACCCCAACCCCTAACCCTAACCCCAAACCCCAACCCTAACCCCAACCCTAACCCCAACCCCTATCCCAAGGGATTCTCCCATTGGGAATTGCCGCCCGCTCACCGTTATCCGGCCCTTGGAATTTCATGGAGTACAGCTTCACGGGCTGGCTGAAGGCCACGGTCATGAGGAGCTGGGGGGGGGAAGAGGAGGAAAGGCTCCTGAATCCAGCGGCATTCCAGAGGGATACGCGCCGGGGGACAAACCCGGAACGCTTTGCCTTGGAAGCACCGGGAGTCCCAATGGAGAAGGGAAGCAGGCGGCATTCCCGACGCGCTCCTTTTCCCTATGGAAGCACGCGGCATTCCCGACGCGCTCCTTTTCCCTATGGAAGCACGCGGCATTCCCAACGCGCTCCGTTCCCTATGGAAGCACGCGGCATTCCCAACGCGCTCCTTTTCCCTATGGAAGCCATCGGCATTCCCGACACGCTCCTTGTCCCTATGGAAGCAGGCGGCATTCCCGACGCGTTCCTTTTCCCTATGGAAGCCATCGACATTCCCAGCGTGCTCCTTTTCCCTATGGAAACACGCGGCATTCCCAGCGCGCTCCTTTTCCCTATGGAAACCATTGGCACTCCCAACGTGCTCCTTTCCTATTGGGAACCACGCGGCATTCCTAACGCGCTCCATTCCCTATGGAAGCCATCGGCATTCCCAACGCGCTCCTTTCCCAGTGGGAATCATGCGGCATTCCCAGCGTGCTCCTTTCCCATTGGGAACCACGCGGCATTCCCAACGCGCTCCGTTCCCTACGGAAGCCATCAGCATTCCCAACGCGCTCCGTTCCCTACGGGAGCCGCCGGCATTCCCAACGCCATTCCCGGACCTGCTCGTCGCAGTCGGATTCCAGGTAGGAAGCGTCCTTCCGGAGGCAGTTCTCGAAGCCGTGCTCGTCGCTCTCGTTGAGGCACTCGCATCCCGCTCGGTTCACGAAGGGCAGCAAATCCATCTGGGAAAGGGGGCGGGAAGCGGGAATGGCATGGATACAGGGCGCCATCGGGATGGGAATTCCATGGAGGGGGTCCCTGCGTCCCATTGGGAATGGTCCCTGCGTCCCATTGGGAACGGTCCCTGCGTCCCATAGGGAACGGTCCCTGCGTCCCATTGGGAACAGTCCCTGCGTCCCATTGGGAATGGTCCCTGCATCCCATTGGGAATGGTCCCTGCATCCCATTGGGAATGGTCCCTGCATCCCATAGAGAATGGTCCCTCTGTCCCAAAGGGAATGGTCCCTGCGTCCCATTGGGAATGGTCCCTGCGTCCCATAGGGAACGGTCCCTGCGTCCCAAAGGGAATGGTCCCTGCGTCCCATAGGGAATGGTCCCTGCGTCCCATAGGGAATGGTCCCTGCGTCCCAAAGGGAATGGTCCCTGCGTCCCATTGGGAATGGTCCCTGCGTCCCATTGGGAATGGTCCCTGCGTCCCATTGGGAATGATCCCTGCGTCCCATAGGGAATGGTCCCTGCGTCCCATTGGGAATGATCCCTGCGTCCCATAGGGAATGGTCCCTGCATCCCAAAGGGAATGATCCCTGCGTCCCAAAGGGAATGATCCCTGCGTCCCATTGGGAATGGTCCCTGCGTGCCATTGGGAATGGTCCCTGCGTCCCAAAGGGAATGGTCCCTGCGTCCCATTGGGAATGATCCCTGCGTCCCATTGGGAATGGTCCCTGCGTCCCATTGGGAATGATCCCTGCGTCCCAAAGGGAATGGTCCCTGCGTCCCATTGGGAATGGTCCCTGCGTCCCGTTGGGAATGATCCCTGCGTCCCGTTGGGAATGGTCCCTGCGTGTCATTGGGAATGATCCCTGTGTCACATTGGGAATGATCCCTGCGTCCCATTGGGAATGATCCCTGCGTCCCATTGGGAATGGTCCCTGCGTCCCATTGGGAATGGTCCCTGCGTCCCATTGGGAATGGTCCCTGCGTCCCAAAGGGAATGATCCCTGCGTCCCAAAGGGAATGGTCCCTGCGTCCCATTGGGAATGGTCCCTGCGTCCCATAGGGAATGGTCCCTGCGTCCCATTGGGAATGATCCCTGCGTCCCATAGGGAATGGTCCCTGCGTCCCATTGGGAATGGTCCCTGTGTCCCAAAGGGAATGGTCCCTCTGTCCCATAGGGAATGGTCCCTGCGTCCCATAGGGAATGGTCCCTGCGTCCCATAGGGAATGGTCCCTGCATCCCAAAGGGAATGGTCCCTGCGTCCCATAGGGAATGGTCCCTGCATCCCAAAGGGAATGGTCCCTCTGTCCCATAGGGAATGGTCCCTGCGTCCCATTGGGAATGATCCCTGCGTCCCATAGGGAACGCTCCCTCCATCCCATAGGGAACGCTCCCTCCATCCCATACGGAACGATGCCTCCATCCCATACGGAACGCTCGCTCTATCCCATACGGAATCACTCCTCCATCCCATATGGAATCACCCCTCCATCCCATAGGGAATGTTCCCTCCATCCCATATGGAATCACCCCTCCATCCCATAGGGAATGATGCTTGCATCCCATATGGAATGATGCTCCCATCCCATAGGGAATCACCCCTCCATCCCATAGGGAATCACCCCTCCATCCCATGTGGAATGATACTTGCATCCCATACGGAATGATGCTCCCATCCCATAGGGAATCACCCCTCCATCCCATAGGGAATCACCCCTCCATCCCATAGGGAACGCTCCCTCCATCCCATATGGAATGATGCTTGCATCCCATACGGAATGATGCTCCCATCCCATAGGGAATGCTCCCTCTATCCCATAGGGAATCAGTCCTTCATCCCATAGGGAATCACCCCTCCATCCCATAGGGAACGCTCCCTCCATCCCATAGGGAATCACTCCTCCATCCCATACGGAATGATGCTCCCATCCCATAGGGAATGACACTTCCATCCCATATGGAATGATGCTCCCATCCCATAGGGAATGATGGTTGCATCCCATAGGGAATGACGCTTCCATCCCATAGAGAATCACCCCTCCATCCCATTTGGAATGATGCTTGCATCCCATAGGGAATGATGCTACCATCCCATAGGGAACGCTCCCTCCATCCCATAGGGAATCACTCCTCCATCCCATATGGAATGATGCTTCCATCCCATAGGGAATGCTTCCTCCATCCCATAAGGAATGATGCTCCCATCCCATAGGGAATCACTCCTCCATCCCATAGGGAATCACCCCTCCATCCCATAGGGAACGCTCCCTCCATCCCATATGGAATGATGCTTGCATCCCATACGGAATGATGCTCCCATCCCATAGGGAATCACCCCTCCATCCCATAGGGAATCACCCCTCCATCCCATGTGGAATGATACTTGCATCCCATACGGAATGATGCTCCCATCCCATAGGGAATCATCCCTCCATCCCATAGGGAATCACCCCTCCATCCCATAGGGAACGCTCCCTCCATCCCATATGGAAAGATGCTTGCATCCCATACGGAATGATGCTCCCATCCCATAGGGAATCACCCCTCCATCCCATAGGGAATGATGCTTCCATCCCATAGGGAATGCTCCCTCCATCCCATAGGGAATCACCCCTCCATCCCATAGGGAATGCTTCCTCCATCCCATAAGGAATGATGCTTGCATCCCATAGGGAATCACCCCTCCATCCACCCGCCCCAAGCCCCGCCCCGGTCAGAATTCCTTTGGGAAGCGCCTCCGTACGTATCCCTTGGGAATGTCGGCGGCCTCTCCGTCGCCGGCCTCGTTCTCCAGGTGCTGCTTGATCTTCTCCTCCAATCCCATGGGATCGGCTCCCTGGTACTGATCCACGCGGACTTTATTCCGGAAGAAGAGGAACGTCGGCGTGGCCGCGATGTTGTTGCTGGCCGCCGTTCCCTAGGGATGGAGGGATCCTGATGGAATTCCGGGATGGGGATGGGAGTTTTCCGAGCCTTTTCCCAAGGGAATTCCCACCTGGCACTGGTGCACGTCCACCTCCAGGAACGCCGCCTGCGGGTACTTGGTGCTCAGGGAGCTGAAGGCCGGCGCTATCCGGAGGCAGGGCCCGCAGCTGCGGGCGCAAGGCACGGATCCGTCGGGATGATCCCATGGGAATGATCCCATGGGAATGATCCCATGGGAAGAGCGGCCTTTGCCACGCTAAGGGGCTCGGAGCTGGACGCAACGGCGCCGTTTGGGGCTGGAAGCAGCCATTCCAAGCGGGAATTCTATGGGGGGGGGGGGGGTCTTCCCGTGCTCTTCCAGCCGGGAATGGCGTGGATCCATGGACCAAGGCACGGAACCAAGCCCGTTGGGATCAATGGCAGCGGCCCCTCCGGCTCCGTGCTGCTTCGTACCCCCCCTTCCAAGCCCCATATCCCATATCCCATACCACATATATCCCATATCCCATATCATATATCCCATATCCCATACCCCGTACCACGTATATCCCATATTCCATACCCCATATCCCACACCCCATACCCCATGTCCCACACCCCATATATCCCATATCCCATACCCCACATCCCATACCCCATATCATATATCCCATATTCCATACCCCACACTCCATACCCCACACCCCATATCCTGTACCCCATATCCCACATCCCATACCCCATATCCCATACCCCACATCCCACACCCCATATCCCACACCCCATATGCCATACCCCATATGCCATACCCCATACATCCCATACCCCGTACCCCAT